AAAAAAAAAAAAAAAAAAAAAAAAAAAAAAAAATCTTAAAATGGCAGGGCACCACATACAGAACAAAAATTAGTTCTGCATACATCTCCTTGTATCTTTATTTGTTTAGACTTCTAGAGTACATTCACATTCCTTTTATGCTGACAAAAAAGGTCCAAAATTGGTAAATAAGGAAATTTGGGAATCTAAGGCAAAATTACAACTCCCACAAAAACATATCATGTATTCCCAAAACATTAAAGTTCTTCTGAAAAGCTTACTTTTTAACTGTCAATTGCTGCTGACAAGATAGCTTGATTTGCAGCCAGCCATAGATTATAGTTTTTAAAAAACATACGACACACACAGTGTCCTCTAAACTTTCTTAAAACACTAGTACAGTACTTAAGGGAACATACCTGTTCAACATCACTGTCTTCACTGCTACTGAGTTTTAAGTCATCTTTCAACATACTAAACAAAGGTGGGGGGAAAGAGCATGAAATTATTCATATACACTTCTTGTTTCAAGAGTTAAACTATAGACTAATCTAACACATTTCCATCCATGTACACACAATGCATGGGAGTACAGAGATGAGGTCTAAAGCATTTGAGCCACTATAATAATCCTTATAAAAAAGAATTCTGATATTTTGAGTCTTAACCCACCATGTTTATATTCAACCAAGAGATTTTATAATCGTGTCCCTTTCAATGATGAAGGAAAAGCCATCACTTGTAAGAACATTACCCTACTGCACAAATGAATAAATATTGTTTAAAACAGAATTAAGGTGGGTACTGAGGCACTGTGTTTTATTTCAATACCATCAGAAGAGGCATGTTTATTAAAATACAAACCCAAATTTGCTTAATAAACCTGACAATACCAATGGACACACATTAGTTGTCCATTTTGTTTTAAAACTAAAGCTTTTCATTGCAAAAATAAAACATCATCTTACTCTGTCTGGTTCGATTCACATCTGGAGGAAGAAAATGAGAAAGAATTAATAGCTTTCTGTCCAGGATAGACACTTTCACAGTATGGCTTCCTTACTAAAAAGCCCAATATTAATACTGGTTTCTAGGATTTGATTCTCAGGGTACCTTTCTCACCAAAAGTTTATTTGGTAGGACTGCCTCCCACAAAATAAAAAATATTACTTACATAAAATGCAATCTAGGTCATGCTACTTACAAGTATATAATTACAGTAATATCCCCTCTAACTACTCATCTACAACCATAATCTAACAAGGGGTCTCCAACAGTTGTCCAACAACATCTTTCAGATCTCTTCACATTCCTCAATTGTAAAAATAGCCTCAATCTTGCCACAGATTGAATTAGGTAATCACCAGAAATAACATTATCATCCAAAACTATAAAATTGCTGGACTACTTCTATGATACGAGAGCAAAACAAAAATAAAGGATACAATCCTTCTGTTGAAATCTCTGGTGTTCACAATTATAAATGTTTTTAAAGTTAACTTTTTTTGAATGCTTGCAAAACTGATCAA